CTTACCTGGCCGCCTGCAAAGATGACGGGAGAGCTGGATGGCTTGGGTCGGTACGGGATGGTGACACCCTTCGGGGGAGACTGGGTGACAGGCAGAGAGGGCAGGTCAGACACCGAGGGCCACTGGCACCAACAGCCCCCTCCCCGCACCCCAGGGCTCTGTTTCAGCTTCCCAACTGGCCATCTGGGGGACCCACAGCAATGATATTTCTTCCCCATCCTGGGCACAGGGCCCGGGAGCAGAGCAGTGGGACAGCTCAGTGTCACTGTGCCGGGCAGCACGACCGGTCACCGTGAGCAGCTCTCGAGGCCCCGCTCGACCCTGGTTTTAAGCGGCTCCAAGCCTCACCTGGATGAGGCTGTAATCCCCAGCTATCCCTTTATCCCCCAGCAGTCATTTTCTCCACCCTCAGCGTTTCCACCCCGGGAGGAGACATGGCTGCCAAGGGCAGTGGGATCCCCTGCACAGGCCTGAGGAGGGGCCCTACCTCAAGCATGACGACGCAGATCTGTTTGACGCACTCGATGATGGACTGTGGGATCCCAGCAATGGTGATGGCTCGCTCAGTCGAGTTGGGCAGCATGTCCCCTGCCACCTGGACCTGTGCCCCCGTGCTCTGCCAAGTCGAGGGTTAAAAATAACCGGTCAGACCCCAGGGAGGGCTGTGACCTCAGCGATGAACCCCGTGGATGGTTATACATAGCCAAAACTGCTCCCCCCTCCTCCTTTTCCCCCCCAAAATAAAGTCCTTTAATCCCAGTTGGATACAAGTCAGGCACTGGGAGCCCGAGGCAGCAGAGGGGGACCTGGGCTCAGCCTGTCCCTGTAACCCAAGCCAAGCCCATCTCTGTGCCAGTAGAGCTGGGCAGAGTTAATCCAGCAGCACTCAGTGCTAAATGGCATGGGCGAGGGCAGTGTGGGCCTGGTAGCACATCTCCCCCTCCAAAAACTGGGAGAAGACTGGGGAGGGGGCACTCAGGAGCCATGGGAAGGAGGGGGGAGCAAGAACCCAGGTGTCCAGCTGTGGGGGACAGCACTGGGCAGGGAAGGGTCTGCCTCGAGTCTCAGTTTCCTGAGCACTAAAAATACAGGGAGCTCCAAAACATCCCAGTAATGCCACGTCCCTGTCACATGGTACCATGGGGGGGTACTCAGAGGCCCATGGACCTCCCCCCCGGGGTGGCCACCACGCACCTCTCGGATCTCCTTGATCTTGCAGCCTCCCTTCCCAATGAGGGACCCGCACTGGCTGGCAGGGACCACAAGTCGGAGGGTGACCGGGGGCCGGCTGGCAGCTGTGCTGTTGGTCATGGAGCTGCTGATGTCCTGTGAGGAAGAGGAGGGGCTCAGAGGGGGTGGCCTGGCCTGGCACAGCATCCCCGCTGGAACGGCACCGGCACGCGGCGGGGACGTGCCCAGCACAGGGACAGGGAGATGATGCTGGCACCAGGAGCCCCGGCCAAGGTGACCTCGGGGCTCTCCCAGTCCCATTTCCCAGGGATTCCTTAACGGCCACATTTTGGGGAAGCAGCAGCCACACTCTGTTGTCTCAGTGGAAACGGGGGTTTAACCACCCCCAGCCCCTGGATGGGTCACACCTCAGCCGAGTGAGAACTGGCTGTGTCACTGCTGGCGGGGGGACAAGGGCTGGGGGCTCAGACTCCACAGCTCCCAGGGCAGCACGGAGCCTCCCGCTGCACCAGGGATCAAGGCAGGAGCTCCGGGAAAACAATCCCTGCGCCGATTACAGCGGTCATGTGCTGGCAGGGGGAGGGGAGGCACAAGGCCAGGGCTCAACTGACCTACTAAAAGCAAAGCTTCAGTTCCAAGGCCGCTGCCCAGGGCCACACTCGGCCGTGGAGCCCTTGGAGGACTCCGGCTCTTGGCGTGTGGCACAAACGGCTCTGGGCTCTGCAGCCTTTTAGGCGAGAGCAGGGGGGTTTGGGGACAGAGCTGCCAGCACAGGGCTGTTCCTCCCAGGGAAGTGTCCCAAATCCAAAGGGCAACAGGATTTGTACCCATACAGGCGAGGTGAGGGTTACAGAGCTCTGCCCCACACCAGGCAAGAAGCACTCCCATCTCCCAGTGCCTCCAGTGCAGAGCAGGATGGAAACCTCCTCAACATCGCAGCCCTGAGCAGGCTCTAATGCCCACAGACAGGATCCAGGTTATCGAGGATCAACATCCCCCCTAGAAGTTGCAGATTCAGTGGGACCAGGGGCATGGTGCAGCTCCTCCTCCAGTGCTGCACAGCTACACCTCAAGCTCCCTCCTCGGTGGGGTGAGGGATGGAGACAAGCTTTGGTCCCCACTGGGGCACGTAAGAGGGGAAGTGGCACCAGGACGAGCAGAGCCAGGGGGATTCCAGACCCAGCTCTGCCCAAAGCTGTTTAACCAGTGCCCAGGGAAGTCCCTGCAGGGCTCTGGCTCTGGCACTGCCTGGACCTTGACCCAGCTCCCAGACGGGCAAAGATCGGGGGCCCCACAGGGAAACACCGGCCATCCATGTGGAAATGGCCCATCCTGCTGCTCAGCCCCAGCAGGACAAACCCAGCAGGGACAAAGCCCTCCTGGGTGCAGACCCCCTGGCACACAGGGGTCAATTTACCCCGGGGAAGGGGCAAACGGGGGCAGCGACTGCGGTGAGGAGGGGGCTTGTGCTGCAGACACACCTCTTCCAGTTTGTCAATGATCATCGCAAAAGCTTTGAAGATGGCGTTGGTGGGTCCCGCGAGGGTGATGATACGCTCGGGGCAGTTCCCTTCCGAGATGTTGATGCGAGCTCCGCTCTGCGGGAGGCAAACGCCACCTCAGCGCTCCGGGCTCCCCTAGGGCATCCGCGGGGCAGCCGGAGTTCCCCAGGATCCCCCGCTGGGGACCAGCCCTCCTCCCTGCCTCCCTCCCTCCTCCCTCCCTCGGCTCGGGCAGCC